GGCGGTGAGGGGCTGTGGGGCGAGGCGTGCGTGCCGCTCGCTCCGGAAGGCGGGGCGGCGCCTGTTGAATGACAGCCGGCAGCTGCAGAGCGGCCCCTAGCCACGAAGCCCGTGTGGAAGGGCGAAAACCACGAGCCGACGTGCACAAAGCAGCCCCCGATACGTCTGGTCTGGGCGACGCGAGACCCGGCCAGCCCTGCAGGGATGCTCACGGGCTCTCCCTCCATGGCAGGTGCGGCAGGTAGCGCGCCGCCATGGCCTTGGCGTAGGTGAGCTCGTGGAGGACAAAGCCAAACTTCTTCAGCAGAGCCTTGACGGACTGAGGGGGTGGGCGTGTGTGTGTGTGTGTGTGTGTGTGTGTGTACGTGAGTGTGTGTGCGTTTGTGCTTGTGTGTGTACGTGAGTGTGTGCGTGTTTTTTTGTGTGTGTGCGTGTGACGGAATGTGTGTGCGAGAGGGAGTGTGAGTGTGTGTAAGTCTCTGTGTGTGTGTGTGTGTGTGTGCAGTTTGGGGTTTGTGTGTGCCGTGTTGAGGTCGCCGCCGTGCCGAGACGACGCCGATCCCGGGAGCGGCGAGAAGCGAGTCGACAGGCACGCTTGCCGTCCATCCCTTGCGGCTGGGCACGCCGAGACAGCGGAAGGCAAGGAGAGCGCCAGGCAAAGGCGCGAGGCGCGCCGCCGCCACCCTGCCAGGGAGGACGCGTTGCCAGGCGGTGCGGGGGCGGTGCGCACCTCCTCCCTCTCGTCGACTCCGCTGAGGAAGTACTCGCCCTTGTTCCAGACAGACACCATGAGCGTCTCAAACCCGGGGTGCCACACCTCGCCTTTGGGGGTGGAGGGGGGTTAAGGTGTGTGTGTGTGTCTTGGTGTGTGTCTTGGTGTCTTTGTGTGTGTGTGTGTGTGTGTGTGTGTGTGTGTGTGTGTGCATGCACGCGTGTGTGTGTGCACCGTGAGTCGGCTCCAGTGCGTCTCTGGCACAAGGATGTGATCACCGAGCGAGTTGCTGTGGCCACGAGCCATGAAATGCTGTGCGCGCATGCGTGCGTGCGGCCCCAGACGCGCGCTGTCCTTCGGGGGCCGCTCGGTCGTGCTGCCACCCTGCAAGAACGTGCGCTCGCACG